GCACAATTAATTCTTTAAGGTTAATACCAATTATAATGAGCTCTAAGAAATGCACTCTGACAGTTTCTGAGAATCCCTGTAGGCTCCACACATGAAGCAATGGCTGGAGTTCAAGCTGCCAACTAGGAAAAAACTCAGACTTCAGCACAGGGCAGGGGAGAAGAGAGGAAGGGGAATCCTTGTTCTCTTCCCAGAAGGATGAACTCAGTCTATTCCTTTTCACTCCCATGAATGTTTTCTGCAGCTTTATTTTGTGAAATTTTAGAGGTAGGGTTTTAGTTGATAAATCTTGTAAGGAAAGCCATGATCCATATCTTTGTACTTGCATTTATATTAGGATATAAATAGGATAATTTCTTTTTGGCTGAAACATCTCCTTTCCCTCATTTAAATATTTTTTGTCTGTTGTGCCCATAGGCTTCAGTTCTGCTCTACTCTGTGTACATAAATATAAGGGAATCCTACCACCACATATTTAAAATTTATATGTTTGCAGCCCTTGAGACAGCTTCTGGCTTATAAGCACAGCTGATAAACTGCAGAAAAATCAATCTGAGTTCATCTAAGTGACCACTGATACCATCCAAAACTAAACAGGAAATGAATTTTCACCAATGTATATTTTAAAACTCATCTTTCCTAGGAAAAACTAGGAATATGAAGGCTAGTTTGGTCTTTTTTTTTTTTCTCTTGAAAGAGAAAGAAAACAACTAAGCAGACTGAGAGAAAGACACCCTGAAAGAGCCCTACTGTGCAACAGAGAGAAGGCTGGAGCTCACATCTCTACAACCTTTTGGTGAGCACACTGAACATCCATCCCTCTGGGATCATTGCTCTCAGGGTCTCTCCCTGACGTGCAAGACGCAGCCAAAGCATCCCCCTGAGATAAGGGACTGGGAAATGTTGTGTTCCACAGCTTGTTGAACCAGCACTTGGACCTGAGCTTGGACTGATCTACAATATGCCCTAGATCTGCAAAACTTTATAAGAAAAGTTCTGAGTTCTACAAGAAAAAGTAGTTCCTCCCCACAAAAAAAAGTTCTGTTTCAATACATATGGCTTTTTTCCAGTAAGAAAAAGAGAGATTCATTAAAAATATGGAATAAGTTTTACCTGTTATTTCTGTTGCAGAACTAGCGCTAGCTAATGCGTGTCTTGTGTTTTCTGCATAGCAAAGTACCTTACCTATGGAGCCAGACCTCTTCATCTTCTGACCAAGGGGTAATCTGTTCAACTGAGCTGAAAAAATAGAAGCCTAACTAGTGTTAGACAGAGAGTGACTGGTTGAGATGAATGCAAGCACATAAATGCCTTATCAAAAAAAGCACAAAATGCACAAGTTCAGTAGGGCACAGTGATGTTAATTTGGAAACACTGAGACTTGAAAGAGACATCATAGGCTTAAAAGTTACCTCTCAGTCTTCTGGATGTGGAAACTCTGCTTTGATAGCCTTCTGGTAACAACTGCTCCATCTACCTTGGGCAATACTGCAGAGACAGGGCAGCTGCAAGATTCTGTTGTATGCTGCTAAAGGGAATGACTAATGAGGCTCCTGAAGCAGCCTTCCTAGTTCCACCTGGGGATGTTAAAAAACAGAAAGGAAACCTATTCTGTAAGTAAGAAAAAAACTAACAAAAACCCCCAAAACCACAGAAAAGTCGAACACAGGACTAACTTAACACCCTCCAACAATGAATTGTCAAAATACAGTTTCTCAAGGGGTCTACTTCATCTGCTATCTAGTTCAGCTTTCTAAGTACTGGTTCTATTGTAAAAATAAATCTATGCTGTTGGTGGAAGTGAAAAACAACACTGTTATTACCAATTCTTGATAACCAATTGCTAGAAATTTCCTGCTTGCAGTAAGCTGTATTTAGTCTTATTCAAAAAGAAGCTAAGATTTAGATGCTACAGAGCATCAATTAAGAGCACCATGTACCGGTATTGTGTTATTATTCCACAGACACAGGTATAATTTTCTGACTCCTCTTTGAAAAAGCTTCCCCCACCTCCATATACATTACAGCAATATCTGTCTTCCTGCAGAGATCCTAAAACATAGTTTCAAAGGGGTTTGCTTGATCCTGTCACCTCAAAAGCTGTTCAGCCCTGAGGCTGAGCCCTCACCAGCAGAGAGCTCAATGTGGGGAAGGACTGACAAAGGACAACCAGCTCCCCTGTCGGAATTTCTGGGGTTTCCCTTCCTGCCAGCGTGCTTCCCTAAGAAAAAAAAGCATAGAAAGGTCTTTTGCTACCACTTGGAGAATCACAAAATCATTTAGGTTGAAAAAAACCTTTAGGATGCTGAAGTCCACCTGCAGTGGGCTGCAGGGGTTGTTGTGGTCACAGTGCAGGACCCAGAACCTCATCTCTCCTGGGATTTGATCCTAATAGGGGCAGATCCCACCCACTTCCAACACAGCAGAACTGCACAATCTTATGATGAGACACCACAGTTTCAGGACTAACCAGCCTTCTGAGAACACAGCTGCTACACAAGGTCTGGAGAGGCCAAAGGGAAGGCAAAATAACAGCCTGCAGGTGTGTTCATCATCCTGCTTGCCTCTCTCAGGATCCCCTTCTGAGCACATGTGCTCATGCACTCAGACTAATTTTTCATTGGTCATAGACCTAGTGCTTTAATAAAAGATAAAATTCATTATGTGAGTGTTATTAACTTGGAGGATGCATCATTTTATGCTCACCTTCAAAACTACTGGCAATCAGCCTGTCTCAGGTGGCTCTGTGCCAGGCCCAGCAGGTTGTTGGATTTATCGCCCACAATCACCACTTTTGTCCAGATTTATCATGCCTTACTGTGACCATTAGCACCCTTGATTACCTCTTCATCTTCAGTCTTTTGAATCACCACTTTGATGTATAATATCTCCTCAAGCAAGGACATTTCCCCTTCAACAGCAATTCTGAATGGTACACAAACAGGTGAAAATACCCCAGCAGCTTTTTCAGGCACAGAGTGTGTGACAAGGCCTTTCTTTTTAAGAATATCAAGGACCTTTTTTTCTGATGATTCTTCCATTCCAACTCGTAGTCATCACAATATGCCTGTGTAATCCAGATCCAGGACAGCCATCTAAAGTAATAAACACTAATGGGAGCAGGACCTTATCTAGAAACCACAGGACCTCCTAATTGATTCCTCAGGCAAAAATCTCCTTCCTTATGATCACCTGTCTTCATCAGACCCACCTGGAAATATCTGCAAACTTCCCTACAATTGTCTATTGCCTTTCAAGTGACCAACAGGAAAAAACAGACCGACTCTGGCATATTGGTCAGTTTTTCCCACTGACACAAGGCTGTTGCAGCTTTCCCTTGTTCTTCTGTGTCTTCCTAAATTCACCTTTCATCTCTTGCTGCAGGCTACAAAACTGCTTGGAGCAGAGATTGGGTGGATTTGTCATGTATTAATAAAACTTCTCTTAAAATTCATGCTAGGCCACACTTATGAATTTAATGATAGTAGTACAATGAAGATTTCCCTAAAGTGTACTTCAGGATAAAAGGAATTCTTTTACTGAGCTTGTTTTCTCCCCCAGGTCAAGTATATTGTTGTAGGAGGTAGAAAACTTCATGGGAAAGACTGAGGGGTGGAGTGCTCCTGCTTCCATCTGGCATTGATGACAAGTAAGGTGTTACATAAAATTCCTGCAGGACTTGTGTTTGCATATTTCTCAGCTCGAGAGATGTGATTCATAGCAATATTGTCCAGGAAAAAGCAGGTGCCCAGGTGGACAATTAATGAGTGTTCTTGCTTCTTGGGCCCAGAGCACAGGGGCAACACATTTCCTCCAACAGCTGATCCTCCTGCCTGGCACAGCAAAAATCCCCAGACCTGTGCCTGCTGACCTAGCTGTGAGCACAGCTACGTGCAGACGGTGCTCACAGCAGTGATGCTCTGCAGACATCACATTTCCCACCACGGGATGCAGTGCTTACACAGTGGGTACCAGCCCAGCAAATTCACCTCTGGCAGGAAGAAAAGCTGTAAGAAATATCACAGTGTGGCATCTACTGAACTTCACTTCCTTCCTTCTGCCAACTTTAGCTGCCTACTCCTCTCTTTGAGCTGTAGAATTCCCTGCCTCTCTGCTGCATCGGTGAGGCCCACAGGTAAAAACATTCCACACTTTATCACCAGCATCCCAAATTATTTAATTGTCATTCTAAACACCTCTTCTGCTTTTGTTCCATTCCTTCTTTCCTAGCCTAGCAAATTCTTATGTGTCTTCTCTATAACTATAAACAGTCCCACAGAGGAAGTCTGTAATGGCAACTGCCCTGTCAGATGGAATAAAGATTTAAACTAATGGATGAGGAGGAGGTTCAAACAAAAATTGTAGTAATAAGTCCACCCAGCAGCCCACATTTTCTTAGTTTGCTTGCTACTTGGATCCTAACAGCCACCAGACCACCTGTTTTCTGCCACTGCAGCTCAGCTGTTGTTCACAAATTTCAAATATTTGTGCCAGTAATTAAATTGTGCCAGCAAAGCACTATTAAATTTAGTTAGTTGCAGAAAGGAGCTAAAATAATTTATCAGATCTGAGTGGATCATCAATGTGTTTTTGAATTTAATGAAAATGGGAATTGGGTCAGCAGGAGGAAGAGGAGACATCAATTAAAAAATATATCTATACTGGAGTCTCAAAAGCCATTAACATTGATTTCAATCCAGAACACAGGGCCTGGCTGGCAAAAAAACATTGAAGAATAATTAAAGGGGATTTTTTTTGGGTTTTTTTTCCCTGTGGCTAGAATACAATAACAGAACTTCAAGAAGTGGAAGTAAATAGGATGTAATCACTGCAGAGAGCTATAAAGGGCTATGAGAAGCTGTTAATGCTAGTGCTTTTATTTGGTCTCCTTTCATATCTTTATTTGCATTTTTTAAAGTTAAACACTTGTTTTTAATGGACAGGAATGTGGGACTGGAGCTGGAATTCATTCTGCCCCCTTCTGTTCTTCTCACAGGCACTTCTTCACTGCACTGAGGCATCCCGAGAGCTTCTGCTGCTGAAGATGATACAGTCAGACAGGTTCCTCACAGCTGGATCCTGTTCAGGTAGGGGTGGTTACACAGACTAGCTTGGTTTAATTGTATTTTGATGTTTGTAATATCCCCGCCATAAATAATGTAACTATTCCATTCTTGAGTCAAAAATGTGTCACTTCTGAGCCAGCCCAGTCATGTGGAGACTACAGATGACAAAGATTAACTTCTTTCATCTTCCTGCTCTTTATTTTCAGGTCGATATGGTCTGCTCTGAATGACCCAAACAGAATTGACTTTTCACTAAAAAATAAATCACAGAGCTGGTGTATGGCCACAAGAACTTTGTTGCAGACTGGATTCAAGAAGATCTTTGGGTCTTCTAGCAACAATTCTTCTGCTTCTGTCCTTGAAGGATTTTCAAAACTGCAGCTACATGATTACCATGGTCAGTGTTTTTTTCAGTGTGGTTTGTGAATAAGAGAAATTACATGATAAAGATCTAAACTAAAATTCAACCTCCATATAAATGGAAAACAATTATATCTTCCTCCCTCACATATTCTTGAATAGATGGCTGTAGTTCTGCTTTTGCTTCTTTGGTAGATTATTTCTCGTCTAATTCAATCAACTAATCCTGCAGAAAACTCTTGTTAGTTTGCAAGGGTTTTTCTTTTTCTTCAGCTAATGAGCTGACCACTCACACAGTGGTCCAATAAGTTCCAAGCTTCCTTAAGGTGAGAAATGGGGGAGAGAGGCAGAACAATCCAGGGACTGGAGTAATCCCTATGAAATAGCATATATACCACCTGTTTTGTTTGTACCCTACTTTAAGATCCACCAATTAGTGGAAAACAGCTGTTCAAAGGCTGAGTACTCTGTTCTCTACACCTGACAATACTTGAAAACCTTCTAGTGCTATACCAGGCACACAGATTAGCTAGCTAGTGTGTCAAATCAAGTTACCTCTCAGAACCATAATTGCTTTCTTTTCTGAAAAAGGCAATTTACTTCACTCACGAATGTATTTTAATTAATGTATATTTATGTTGCAAATAGTTATCAGAAAACTGACAGCATCTTGATCAGAAATCTTGTTGGTCTAAGACTTGAGGGCTGGTAGTCAAACATCTTCTGGAGATCCCTTTACTTTCTTCCTTTTCTTTATTTCCCATTGGCTGTGACAAACCAAGCCAAAAGGTATTTAAGGAACCCTGCAAACCTCATAGCTCTTGCCAGGTTGCTGTCTGTGGGTATGAAAATTTGAGTTTATTGTTATTTTTGCAGTCACTGTCCCTGGAGGTGCTTAAGTTAAGGCTGGATGTAGCACTCAGTGTCTCAGCTCTGGCTGACCAAGGTGATGTTAGGTCACAGGTTGGGCTCAGTGACCTCAGAGGTATTTTCCAACATAGTTAATTCGGTGATTTATGTGTCTAATTATTTCATATTAGCAGTGTAGCTAAAAAAAATATGCATATCCTGGGATGCATATTCAGGTCATTTAAAAAAACCCAGCACAACAGCAATTGAAATGCTGCTGAAGTTTTGCAATGCAGACATTCCCTGACATCTGCCTGGTGGATACATCTGCACCTTTATAGTAATTAAAATATTTCCCTGTACATGTAGGAATTCTGTATCAGATGGACACTTATCAAGTGGGCTTAAAAAAAAAAAAAAATTTAAAAAATCACCTAAACTATTATATATTTTTTCTGATACTTTTTATTTTCTTTCTTAGATAAAATCAATTGATATCACTACTGTCTTCATTAAATTGCAGGTCAGTCAATGACACACTGCATGTAACTTTTAGATACTGTTGAGAAACAAAATTAATTGCCCAAAATATAGACAATTGCAGAGGAAGGCAGAAAATAGGGTTACAGTTTTGAAGAAAATACCACACTTTGGCCATCATTTCAAAAATTAATTTTACTTAAGTATGACTACAATCGTTTGCAAAATTACTTGACAAAGAGATGGCCCAGCAATTACTGCTTTATGATTTAGTTAATATCTCATTAAAATTAACTTCTCTTACAAAACAAAGTATTTTTTCTGCAGATTATATCTGCCTAATATCATGGGGGTTTCTGCAGATAAATAGGAATTCAGCTCCTTTTGCTTACTTGCATCTGCTTTCAGCACATTTTGGCATGATTCCTTATTTTGAATTGACATTGGTCTGACCAGGACACATGAGTGATCTCTGAAACCTCTGAAGAAAAACAAATATGTTGATGAGTTAGTCTTGTTTTGTTTTGCTGTCTGATGTTTTGGGAAGATCAAGGGAGTTGTTAACAATTTCCTAAGTCTAAATCTAAGATTTTTTCTCTTTTGATCAAAATTTGAGACTTAATTTAAAGCCAGTTGGTTTAATAATAATGACTTTTATAGAGCACCAAACTGGCCCACAAATCAGCTTTTGGAGAAGTCATTCTATTTCTGAAAGTATTTGGTTGGATAAATAAATTCACTTTTAAACTCTTCTCAAGCTGTTCTTTTGCACAGAAATGACTTCATGTGGAATTTGGGAGTAAGTCTGGAATGAAGGAAGTGACATAGGGATATTTGCCCATCACTACTTCTGGAAAAAAATTAATCTCATTAGGCCTCAGGCTCAAACCTATACCCTTTGATCACAGGACTGAATATCCTTCTGGTTTCATATATAACTCTATCATGACCTTTAGAACCAAGGTGAAATCAAATGTTCAACAGTCGGTATTAGAAGACAAAAAGTAGTTTAAGGGATTATGAGTAGTCAGGGGTGGAAAATGAAACTGCAAAACTTCTAATATTCCCTGATTTTTACCCAGGCAGAACCTAGCATTGAACAAATCAGTTTAAGGATCCAAATCATATTTGGGAGCCCAAGTCTTAAGTGCACAGCTAAATTTGTATGTTCAACGTGTTTGCACTTAAAAGTACAGATGCTAAAATGGAGCCATTTCTCAAACATTTCCAGCATATCAATCTACTTTTGGCTAGAGAAGATACTCTCATAGAGGAACCAATGGCAGCGTTGGTCAAAGGCAGAGCCAGTGTAGCAAGGGAATTTGGAAAGCCATCTCAGATGGGTGGGCTTCAAGATCTGAGGGGAATTTACTATCATTTGAACTTATCCCTATGTAAACTGCACCTGGACTTAATATATAACTTATATCTGAAGATAGATAATTTTATTTTATTATTCTCCCCCCACCTCATAAAATTCCAAGTTCCTTTGCCTTGGTGACACAACCTGCACAGCCTGTCCAAGGCTTTTCTGCATCTTGGCAGCAAACAAAATACTATCTTGTAGTTTTCATATCAAACCCACCAGCTCATAGCCCTTCTGTTTCCAGGGAAATCCCTGAGCAGCCCAATCACCTCAGGCACTGGCTGCAAAATGCCTTCCCTATTAGTGCACTTCCAGGTCTTCCATTTGTCAACCCTCCTTCTTCCTCCCCTGGTTTAACTCCAGCTCCCTCTGACCCTCTGCACAGTCTCTTGACATCTGCAACAGCCTCCCAGTATCTCTCTGCCTCATCAACTCTCCATCCCTTATCAGATCTCATCAGCAAACCTCTCCTCATTCCCCTGCCTGCACCTCTTAATTTCTTCCACTCTCTTCTCTATGTTATTGGCCTTTGTCTCTCTTTGATATGCTCTGCAGGCAGTATTTTTCTGCTTCTGTTGGTCTTTAACCTATACATTATAATATCTATGGTCTTGTATTATTTATTTTGTAAAGCATTTTAGGAGAAGAATTCACATGAAAGAAGTGATGAAAAATAATCTTGCATTGAATTATTGATAATCTATTAAAATGAGCTTGTACTATTGTCATCTCTTTTCTTACTTTTCTATCTTTACACTTCCCTTCCCAAAATGCCCCAGAAATTTTATCTAAGTCTGAAACATGCACCTCCTGCTAACTGAACAGTGATAACTTCACAGAGTTAAATGTGGGTGATTGGTAGGGTCTGAAAACAAAGCACCTCAAAGGGAAAAATGAAACTTTAAAACAGATCTCACCAAAAGAAAATGGAAACAATTATTTAATGTAATTCTCAGGGGCTTATGGCCTTGGATGATCAAAGTGCACAGTCACACTCCTGGGGACAGAGAAAGAAGTAAGCAGCAGGAGGCTCTGCAGTGAGATCTGATAACTCCAGATACACCAGCATCACATACCTAATAGGGCACTGAGGAAATGTGAAGACTGCAAATCTCTTCCTTCTTCCTAAGGCCATTTTTGAGGAGCATGGTGGAGGTGCCAATGTCTCCAGAGTACAAAAGCCACTTGGCAGACTTTATGTCCAGAGTATTAATTAAAAACTGTGGAATCACATTATTGGCAGCAGCAGTGTCAGGCCTTTAGTATGTCGACAAAGGGTTTTACAGAAAGGAAGGAGGTGCCAAGTGGGAGTGAAACTTGGGAATGAATCTTGTTATTTTGGTCAACTGAACAACCCAACTGGATAATGACAAAGCATCAGCAAAGGTAGTTGGGCGGAATAACTTTTATATATATCTTAAATTTATTATTTTAATTTCCTTTTCTTTTTCCAATTATTTTTCATGAATTGCATATATATTAATATCAGTCATCAGTTAAAGTAGGTCTTGAAAGATTTTCATGAAATTATTTCCCTAAGTCTCCATTTTCTTCTTGCCTTTGTTTCTCTCTCTCTCTCATGCTTTCTTTATTATTTTATTTCTTTTCATTTTGCTTGCAATTACCTGCATGAAACTTATTTAAGCGTTTAATTTACTATAAGATTACAGGTACATTCTCACACTCTGGTAATTATCTCTGGAACAGCATATGATTGGCATAGCTAATGATAGCTAACTTCAACAGAAGAGTCTGCAGTTCTCTCTTTTCCCTGAGAAATGACATAGTTTTACTCAAAGATTCACAATAAAAGGAGGAAGGTCATCTTAGACTATGGCCCAGTTGTTGGTTATAAGTCAGGTTTTTAGCTGAGGCAAGTCATTCCAGCTTTGGCTTACTGGAAGTGAATTACAATGTCTAAAGCTCTCCTCCCTGTTTCTTATGTACTGCCTTTCCTGCACTGTTAACATTGCAGAATATTTTATGGCCACTTTCTGTTCTTAAAATAAAATAAAATAAAATAGATAAATAAATAATTCTCTCATCAAAGTAACTTCTAGAAAGGAGAGTGTAGGAGTAAAATGTGAAAAGACTAAATAGCAGCCAAGGGGAAAATCTGAGTAAAACATGCTCTGAGATTTACTGTATTAAGGTAAAGGTGGTTAGGAGTTATCCCACTATGAAATTTGTGTGTGCAGCCAAGGGGTGGAGAAAACAGCCCCATTAGCTGTATCTGGTGCTGCTAGGGAGACAGCTGGTAGGGAAACAGAAGGGAAAGGAAGACTGATGTCAAGGAATTTAGGACTTTTAGGTCAAATACAAACTCAGCCAAAGTAAGTGAGAGGCATACCAGTGTCTTGGCCAGGCCTGGATTCTTATGTGGCCACATAAGAAATAAAAATAGAATTTGTTACAGCACAACTGTTTGTTACAGGTGACAGGTCTCCTCACTCTACTCTGTGCT